AATTGCAACCATAGATGAAACTTGTTAACAAATCAATAAAGGAAATCAAACATCAATAAACTGAAGATAAAATATTGACATCTGGTGAAAACTGTTCTTATTTATGTTACTCTCTTATATCGAAGCTCTCTTGCTATTTCAAAGCTCCATAAATAATTTATGAGCCATTGAGCCAATTGGCTACGCCTCAGGAAAATTGATATTACTTAATACACCGTATGGTTTGTGATGTTTGGAAACTGACGTTTCGGACGTTAGTCCTTCGTTGGAGTAAATGTTGTCGGAGTAAATGTTCACATTTACTCCGACGAAGGACTAACGTCCGAAACGTCAGTTTCCAAACATCACAAACCATACGGTGTATTAAGTTAAATCAATTTCCCTACTGTTCGAGCATTAGAGAGCTAGAGCTAACAGAACTCCATAAATACTCAGTAGAATCGACTTTTAGTACGAGTTCGAAGAGTTGCTATCTGGATTCTTACTACTCTTCCCAGTAGACCGTGGTAGTTGTGATTTTTTTAAATCGCCTTCGTAGCGTCTGTTATGTTATCCGCAAGTACATTTCAAATTGACCACGTGATGCCAATGTTGTACCACGAGGACAAATTTTTTACACCACGTGATTAAAACTTGACTGAATTTTGACCACGGGGTGTTAAAAACTTGTCCTCATGTCCTCAGTCATATATTGAAAATATATTTTCATAAATTTCATGGACCACGAAATTCATCTGTGACCGCGGTGCATCATGGTAAGTGGCAATGGGTCTTTAACATGTGTTGAACATTCTTGTTCGGTCATTTATATAGAGGATATTACATCGGCGCGCGGAGATACGCAATTTATCTTCGAGTGAGAGATTTTGAACACGAGAAGATAATTTTCGTATCTCCAAGCGCCCATGTATTATTCTGTTTATTATATAATTATCAATGAAATTAACTTGACAAGCTTCTTAGGATTATAAAAAGTTTTTATTTATAAACTAATTGCTTAAATACACGTGGTAACGATATTTTCACATGTTATTTTCGCATGTGAAAATTTCGGTTTTTCGAAAAGGAGAAATATAGGTATTTTATGGATAATTATGATAACCTATCTTTTATAACGGGGCACTATGTATAGGAAATCATATAGTTTCGAGTGCAATTTGAAATAAACTCGAACGAGTGGGTTTTCCTGTAACGCGCTGAAGTTGCTTCCTCGAACCGTTAATACTTTTATTACTGTGGAGATTTTTATTACTTAATGGTATGCTGTAAATCATATGGACGTATAAGGCGCGTGAAAGAAAATTACACTGGTTATACATGATTTTCTTGCTGTTATTAGAGTGCACTTTGTTACCTTTGTTAGGCCTACTCTTAATAGCGACTACTTGTTAGTAACTAGTTTGATTTTATTTCACAGTTCAAGTGTTTTTGCTCTACATTTGAATAAGAAATTCAAAGATTTTATTACTATTGATAATAATTATAAAATGGCACCATCATGTACAAACAGCATGTTGTAATTGAAAATTGTGCTCGTTATGTTTATTAAAAATCGACATTTCCCGACTTCGCTTGACTGACCACGAAACAATGGATTCAAGTCGAGGTTAAACTTTAAAAATAAAAAATCCAGTTCAGTGTATCGACTTGAAACCATTGTTTCGTGGTCAGTAATGATAAAAAGCCAAATTATAAGGGGAAAACTTTCCGACGTTTCGGACGCTAGTCCTTCGTCGGAGTAAAAGAGGTCAGTCAAGCGAAGTCGGGAAACGTCTATTAATTATTTTGGATTTAAAAAACATATATAAAGCATAGTTAATATCTAAAACAATAATAAMTTATGTTTCTATATATATTATATATTATATGTAAAGCGCATTGAGACCATGTGAAATGCGCTATATAAGCACCCCATTATTATATATTATTATTATTATTATTTCAAAAAAGCGTCCAAGATCGAAATGCATTGTTATCCGCGATGATTCCTTTCATTCTGGATGTCTAAAACATGCTGGCAAATCTTTTTTTAAATTTTTAACTTTAGTCACAGGAAATCTGATTTGTATAACCAAAACTCGCATGGACTCCAAAAAACAAAAATCAACAACAACAACAACAACAATAGCTGTTATTACAGTTGAGCCTGCAATGAGAAATCCATTTAGTGTTTTAAGAATCATACAAATGAGCAGAGTTAATTGAGGGGTCCCCTCTATTAACTCTGAAATGAGGTTAACGGGCTGATACAATGCTTGTTGTCTCATTTGCATTTCATTTGCATGCACCCATCATAACTGCTATATTGCATTTCGGTCTTGGAATTAGTGTTGTATCCAGTATATTTTTTGATAAACTCAACATTGTTTTCTAAAATAGCTGTTAGCTTTACTCAATTTATAATTCGTATCTAGTTTTGTTTAGAGCCATTCTAGAAATACTTTGGCTAAAATTAAAAATACAGCCTGTGGAGTCCCAGGATCCCATCAATTACATGTACCAATTCGGAAAATGTTACAAAAAATAACATATAAGGTATTTTAGGGAAATTGCTGTCAAGTCCACCAGTGAAAACAGCCTGTTGCAATTTTGAGATAACGGGACTCCACTGCACAGTCTCTATAAATAGCAATACGATGATAATAAAATTAGTATGATACATTTGAGTTATATTAACTATCATATCACATTAGGGACAGGTTTACAACTCGATTACCAGTGCACTGTGCAGGTTGATCCAGACAAAAGTTGCCAGGGGTTAAGTAACTGGTAGTAGACTTCCATGAATCAAATATGAATTTTGGCATAATTTGTAACGAAACGATACATTTTGGAAACTGCATGTACGCTCTCATGATTTATTCTATTGAAAGTATTCTACTACTAATTAAAACCTGTGGTAAGTTTTATCTTGATGAACATGTCAGGTAGCAATGAAAACTGTTGTAAACTGGTAGCATTTACTTTTCTTAAATATTCAATTATCTTAAGATAAAATTCAGCAATAAAACTTTACTAAAAAGACAATATTAAATCTAAAAACGCGTTAACTTATATACATGAATAATAAATATATTCAATCACGGGTGATTTAAAGTAAGGGAAAGGGTCGGGGTAAAAACAGGGTTTGGGTCACAAAATTTGGGTCATTTGCATTTCATGCATGGAATCTTGGGCTAATCATTTTTTCAAACTCTTTTTATGCGGGCCAGCAAAAAAGAGCTCCTTTAAATTCAGTTTTACCCCCCACCCCCCTCCCCTTACTTTATGACCAGTCCCTAAAATTACAAGCTTAAGTGCACCATCACCCCTTAGAAGAATGCCTCACAGTGGGGGGTTGCCATGCTAATAACATTAATATAAGAGCAAATGATTTGAACACTTTACAACAATTCCTCTTGCAATTAAGATTAAAGGTAGATAAAGGGTGTGAGGGGCACATCTCATACTATGCATGATACTAAGAACCTAAGTTAAACTATTACCATTGTACCCATAACTTCATATATAACACACACCTCAGAGCAATAAATATAAGGTTGTCAGAGCTAAAGGGAATAGATGGAATGGTTAGTTCCTCATCATTCTTGTCAAAAACATGGAAGTACATATTTTGAGATAAGTAAATAGCTGTGCTTAATGTCAACAACAGCCAACATTTAAGCTGAGGCTTATGCATCATAGAAATCCTTTTGGTGTTGGAATGATCGACCTAGCTTAACTGATCTCCTTCGGCTCTGACAGTTAATTTTGAAAAAACCTCATAAAGCACTTTAAGATATATATGTGTTCAGGAAAATACTTTTCAAATAATTGTAATAATATTCTTTTGTAATTTTAAAATGTGGAGCTTCCTACTCAATAGCAATTTCATGAGAGGTTAAAATTTAATGACTGAATAAAATGACGTTTCACATCCTATCTTATTCTATGAAAAGTTTTTATGTATATAGTTAAAACCATCATTAATTAAGACACTTATGTACTTATAAATTACATTTATTAAGACATGACATGTTTTAATGCATGCATAACATGGTGAGCAACTATTATCCACCTGTGTTGTTTTTGTGTTAAAATTCAAAAACCATTCATTGGCTAGGAAGACATCCATGAAATACCATGAAGCACTGCCTTCAATTTAGTCTTGTTTGGTGAATGAATAATTCTTTAAGGTGGAGGAAAATTACTGTCATTCTCTCTCTAAATATAAAAAATGATTGAATGAAAATAAATGAGTGAATAAAGTAATGTATAAAATAATACATAAAAAAAAAAAGAATGAACGAACGAATGAATGCATGGGTGGGTGAATGGATGGATGGCTGAGTGGGTGGGTGGATGGATGGATAGGTGA